CTGGGATTACAGGCATGGCCACCACGCCAGTACTCAGTGGCCCGCTCAGAGGGCCCAGGGACAGGCCTGGAGTGGCATGTGGTGCCAGGGATCGAACCCAGTCCCTGAGCTTGCCTAAGCAGGATTTAGACAGCTAAGCTATCTTCATGGCCCTCCCCCTTGTTTGTAACACAGAAAGCAATGATGTATGTTTTTCTTAAAGTGCTCTAAAGAGATGAATTATATACATGTTTTAAAAAGTACACCATATTTTTCAGTTTCTAAGACACTAATGTTTTATAATACAATCACCTAAATAATAAAAAAGCTCTAATTAAAACTCATAATTTTTATTAAGAAGCTATTATTTAAACTATCTTTTCTTTAGTCATTTTATGTATTGTAGAATATTGGGCTCTTTTTATAGAAATTCTTGGGGCTGGGGAGATAGCGCAGTAGAATAAGCACTTGCCTGGCAAGTGCAATCCCTGGTACCACAAAAAAAAAAAAAAAAAAAAAAAAAAAAACTTGTTAGTACTGCCAAGGTGAACACCTTTGTGCATATCCTTACTGTAGAGAGGCAATAGAGAGAAGTTAGGAGTCTGACTGTTTGGGTTTGAATTCTTGCTTTGTCACTTACTACTTAAGAAATACACTTACCTGAGCTTGTTGTAAGGATTATTAATATATAATAACCCCAACTTCCTAATGTCATTGCACCTCAATATATTAAATACAGTAGCACCTGGCAGACAGTAAGTGCTACATGAATATAAACATTTGGATTTGATTATTATTGTGTTATTAGATTCTTATAAGTGAAACTATCTTGTCAAAAAATACAAAAACATTTTCTAAGTCTCATACATCTACGTTTATTTATATTAATTAATATAATTGCAAGTAAGTGTATTTCTTAAGTAGTAAGTGACAAAAGAAAGCAAGAATTCATTAATTACATTAATCTATACTCCAAGAATATATATTACACCACCCTTGCCAATTTTTTAAACTTTATTTTATTTTTATTTTTTTGTTATATTTTTAATTTTTTAATAGATTGCAAATTGAAAATGAATTATTTACAAACATAACTGAATATAACAATAAAAGCTGTCCAAAATAAAAATGAAGAAAGAATTTACAGATCAGGCATAATAGTTTACTGTGTCAAAATCAAGAAACTTATATAATTAGAATTCTCAAGAAAGGAGTAGGCAATAACTATTTAAAAATTTAAAGTTTCTGAATTTAGTTCAACTTATAATACCACATTTCCAAGAAAAATGAACCTTTTGCAAAGACATTTAAAGTGTGTAAAAAACTAGATTAATTAAAGGACTGAAAGAAAAGATCT